TTCCTCCCCCTCTTCGTGCATTCGCCCTTCGATGTATCGTTTAATGTCCGCCAGGGATGACTGGTCGGTGTACACAACCCCGAGGATCTCGAGGATCGTTTGTCGAAATTTTCGAAAGCTTGGGAAGGAAGGATTACCGGAACTAGCGTTTAACTGTCGCACCATTTAAAAAACTCCACTAATTTCTCCAATTGGAATTTCTGAGACGCGCTCGTAAGAAATAATTTTCTCTTCAACGAGGAAGGCTGGAAAAAATTGGTATCCAGAAACAAACGCAAAAGTGGATACGAACGAAAACTCGAAAAATTCTAAATTCTCCGTAACTCAACAACTCCTCTTCTTCGATTATTCTTAAGTATTCTCGCGAATTTTATTATTAAAATACGGTGGAAGGCGATTCTGACGAAAATAAAAAAAAAAAAAGAAATCTTCCAAAGGTATCTTAAACGTGAATTTTCGTGGTGAACGATCGTGGCTTACGCTCGTTCCGCGAAGGAACGTCGTTCGTGACAAATTAACGAAGGAAAGGAGAGACGATTTTTTCCCTCTTCCTCCACGGATCAAAACCGTGGCGGCTCGATAGCTCGTGGCCGATTCGAAAACGATCTCTCGAAAACGAGGCGCCCTCTTCTTGGATGGATTTCCCCAGAAGAAATTTCTAACGCGTGGCTAAATTTCACCAAGGTAACCGCGTGTTAATGGTTTAACGAGGAGGAAATAATCTCGGTTCCTCGTAACTTTTCCTCCTCCTCCTCCCCCCGATAATCTGGAGACCGATCGATATTACGCATTTGGAAGGATTTGCGAAGAATTTCGTGACAGAAGAGGGAGGAACAATATGAATGGGGCGGGGAGCGAGTGTATACAAGCGTCAATCTGATCCGATGATCGGATATATGCAACGCGATGCGGGGGGCATGAATTATTTATGGCTAAGGCTGGTGAATAACTGCGAAAAAATGTAAATCCCCCGTTTTCCCCATGGGCTGGCGGGACGACGTGTAACACTGACTGATTTAGAGCAACAGATAACAGGTATTTTTAGAGAGGTGTGTGGAAAACGTAAACAATTTTTAAAAGTCGACGGCGCCTCGATGGTGTCACACACTGATCCGGATAAAAGATAACGAATTTCAGATAACGATTGTACAGGGGGGGGAGGGGAGGGAGAGGGAGGGGGATATCTTTGGATTTTTCCAACCTCTATCAATCGATTCGTTTTACGAATTCGTTTTAACGTGTAACTCGTGATTTTTTTTGAAATTATATGGAGTTTTAAGTTCTTTCTCATATTTCTTATTTATTTATTTATTTTTTTCTCATTCGAAAGGGGAACGGAAATTTAAGGTTAAATAAGCTGACGCGAGAGCGATTTCTGATTAAAAAGGAATAAAATTTTCTTGCTCGTGCCTTCTTATTCCCCTGTTCGTAAGTAAATCGTTTGAGAATGGTTTATCGAGGTGAAATGTGGAATATCGTTCGGACGATGATTAAAGATAATTTTTGACGTACGAACGAGATACAATTATGGAATCTGGAGGATGGTATAACGGTGCTGCGAAGAATCTTATAATTAAGGAGAGGACGTTCTCTGTTGGGGGTCGGGCGGAAATTAATTTTTGAAATTGGCCAGATATCCTTCTGCACGGATACTACCCTTCCTCTTTTGTGCCATTTCTCGAAAGCCTTGGACCTACCTTGGACTAAGCGATCAAATCCGTTACTGAGTAATCGCTCACGCGAAATCTTGTTTTTAAACGGGATATCGCGATCGATCTTATCGACCGTAACTGTGTACGTGTATATATAAATACGGTTGAGAAATTTTTATTTCTCTCATGCCTTTGGCATGGGATATATATATAAAAAAAAAAATTATTTTACAATCAAAAACAGAATTCGAGCGATGAAAAAGACTTGATAAATTCTACGACACGTGTTAATTTATATTATCGATAAAATAATTCCAACTTCAAAAAATTGTTCCTATAAAAACTGTTGTAAAATTATCAAATTGTGTCTGTTACGAAGTGAGTTAGAATTAGGTTAGATGATCCAACGTGATTATCAAGTTTTCTTCCGTGTTCACATGTAAGCAGTGGAGGGTAATAACGGTATAGATTTCCGGGAAATAAATGCGCACGAGCGGCGGT